GGGAAATCATCCGTGGTGATCAGCTCGAAATGAAATTCACGAAAAAAATGAGATTTCGATGTTATTTGGCGAGACCATCTTCTATAAAAATCGATATAAATTTCCATGCTAACGTCATCAGGTATCCGGCGCAATTTTCCGTCCAGTTCTCCCGGCGCAAAAATTGCTTCATCACCTTTTTCACCAACCCGACACTAGACACACAGACCAAGTTATTTCGCAATCTGACTACGAGTACACCTATTTCACTGCGCACACGCCATTTGTCGGCGAAGTGGTGGCTCGACAGGGGGCTCGAGCACGATATACATCTCCCTCTCTGCACCAGCGCCACGTCGCGATCTGCTAAGGCTGAGCCTGGGAGTGAGAGTGATCCCTTCCATCAGGCTCAGCCTTAGCAGATAGCAGACGACCAGAGTCCAATGTTAACACCGGCACCGTGAGTGAATGTCATATTCGCGATGGGGCACTAAATATCTCCTAACGTTAGTTTCGTCCGATAAAATATTAGTTTCTCGGGTGGAGGAGGTGGTGGTGGTAGTGGTGGTGGTGGTATTGCCAGTTTTTTTCCGCCTATTCAGTTGAAGCAATTAATTACCTATCGATGGAACAAGATCCATAAGTGACTCTAACTTTGCATATATAGGACGGATGTATGCCGATGACGTTGAGTCGCCTGACGATGGTTCAGAACTATCTTCATCTAACGGCTGCGTATCATGGTGGTAGCTGAATGAGAAATTAGAAACAAACTGCATCAAGGGAAAAAGATTTTCGATTTTTTGGGACGTTCAAAAATGGCGGAACTTATAAAATGTGTAGTCAAGTGACTCTGAGCCCATCCATGAATCACCCTTACAGTTTGCCTTTATACACAGTAGAAGAACAAATACTAGCAAGCCTCACAACAAGTACGCACCGATGAAGCTTGCGACATGCACAGCTCGATCGAGAGCAGATTATCTACGAAAACAGAATGCAGCTGACTGCCGCATTCTCTATCAGATCCTCTGTAACCCAACTGTTCTTAGAAAAGGGAAACTTTTTGATTCCGGGTCCATTTCAGTCAAGAAATCATCTCTTTTCATATCTTTTGAGAAAGCGACAAAGGGTATCTAGATAAGCTGGACATTACGTGACTGCTTCCTACATTCTGGT